GAAAGGAGACAGCGGCCTAAAGCCAGGTAGGAGGAGGAGGAGGGCACGGCCATAGAAGGGGAGGCAAGCGGACAAGACGCGAGCAAGGGACAAGAGAAGAGGGCAAGCGGACACGAAGCGAAGGGGAGGGAGAGCCTACGACCGTCCATCATCTGACCTGGAGCGAAGAAGCGGAACGAGAGTGGGGGCGCGCCTGGCCGTTTGCCGAAGGCGGGCGGCAGCAGCACGTTGGAAGGCTGCGATCCCCTGTCCTGCGCCCTTCATACTATGGTAAACACTGTGCATGGTGTCAATGTATAGTGCAAGAGAAAGCACCTCCGAAGAAGAAAAAGGGCCACAGGGAAACACACAAACAACGTTCCTCGCATCTTCAACCCCATTGGGAAGGAAGGGAAGACGTGAACGCACAGACCGCGCGAGGACTTCACAACAAATGACATGCATGAGAGTGTCCTGACACGATGCTAGACAAAAAGGACAGCCACGAGTCGGCCCTCTAAACCGACCCGAGGTGCACCAGGCTTTACTAACAGTTTTGAGGCAAGAGGAGACGAGGAAGGAGGGGGCACCTCCAGCAACACGGAGCAAAAACCGAAACACCTGGTCGACGTCGGCCCTGGAAGTTTCAGGGATGAAATGCTGAAGTCTGTCATGCAAAAACTGATGCGGAGAATATTTCCTACGCCTGAGAAGAGCCCTCTCAGCTTTGTGTTGAAACCTCCGATCACCAAAGGCAGGGACCCTGGGAATCTGATTCATGAAGTCATAGTTTCGCCACATCGAGATCGTGATACTGTTCTTCCACCACTCATTCCATGCATGCGTAATCTGGCACTCGTCTGAGAGGGCGAATTCAGACAAGCGCTCGACCGCCTGGTGGAAGGCACTGGATGTGGTAGCCGCTCGAAACATGGCAGCTCGAGCAGCACATTCAAATTCCCGAGCACCGATTTTGGAGCCGAGGGAGTCGAGGTTCCGAATGAGGTCGGACGGGATAGCGTTTCGTGGACCATTGGAGATAAGCTGAAGGGGCTGGTTCTCGATGGACTTGGCAAAGTCGGAGGGGAAGTAGAACTGGGAGACATGGGACAAGACGGAGAGGGCATACATGTTGCATCGAGCGACCGACTTTAGCGGACCGAGCCAAAGCCCCTGAATATTTCTTGTACGTTCGATACATTTCGTAGCAGGAGCAATCCAGCTCTCTCGTGCGCCGCCAGGCCCGACAACGACGTCCAGGTACTTGGCGGCACGCTTGAAAATAAAACCCTCCTGAAAGATACCGTGCTGCTGGAGACGCTGGCAGAATTCGCGATAAGACATGGGATGAATCACGACAATGACGGTCTTGGCTACATTCATATGGAGCCCAGCAGCACGGCCTGCGAGGTCCCAAGCGGGCAGCGCGAGAACTAAGGTGGCGAAGACGTCGGAGCTGGCGATGCCTGTGTCGTCAGCAAAGACTCCCAGCACGCCTAGCTGCGGGGGCAAAAGGCACTGCATGCATCGAAGGATCGGGTCGAACCCAAGACAGAACAGCGAGCCCGACAGAGGACAGCCTTGTTTAATACCTCGGAGAGCCCAGAATCCAGCCTCCTGGAGCCCACAGAAGCTGATGCTAACCCACACGCGATGGTAGAGCTTACACACAGCGTCGACGATAAACGTAGGAACTCCCATAGCGCCCAAGACCCACCAGATCATAAGATGGAGTAAGCTGGGAAACGCGGCCCGAACGTCGAAGAAGGCGAAACCCGCCCCCTCGAGACCCATTTGGCATTACCATTGAAGAGCCCAAGACTCCAGGGTCAAAATGTTGTCGTTCATGTTCCGATGTTTGACGAAGCCCCTCTGGACGCCGATCGCCGCTTCGCAACACAGGTCGGAGAAGGAGTAATTCAGAGTCCGAGAGATCAGCTTATTGTCGCTGTTGGAGAGAGAGATCGGCCTAGTGACTTCGGGCTTGCGGAAAACCCCTATCGACTCGCCATCGTCCTCCACGCCCTTGGCAAGGAAGATCGCTTGGCAGAAGTTGAAATCGCAAGACAGAGCTCCACCCCGAAGAAGCGAAAGATACAGTGCGTGGAGCAGTCGAAGGCCAGTGGTTCCTGATTTAATCCATCCCGAATATGGGATACCGTCGGGGCCAACTCCAGAATCGCGAACCTTGGAGGCACGCTCGCAGAACTCGTCAAAACAGATCCCCCATGGAATATGCCCAGGACACTGAACAACGCAAGGCCTTAACTGCTCGCGCGCATCCGAAGAGCCCTCTTCCAAGCCGTGCACTTTGCCCCAATGCTCCGCGAGACGGTCAGCGACGATTTTCGGGTCCGAAATATGTTCGCCCGAAGGATCAGTGACACCGGCGAAGCAAATACGCCGATTAACTCCAGACCAGGCCGAAAGATATTCGTGAAGACGCTGCTTGGAAGAGGACTTGGTATTAGGGTGCATGTGCGGGCCTGCGTCGACCTCTGCAATCATTGCCTCGACATTGCTAGCTGCCAGCTGGTCCAGCCAGACATAGAAGCCAGACATGTCCTTCCAGACGAGGTCGGATACATCTATGAAGCGAGACAAATAGGGGTAGGCACGCAACGCTCTTCGAATTCGACATGGCGGCCCTGACTGCATCGCACGATGAGCAGCGAGCGTCCAATATAGTTTCTCAGGCACCGAGTCCGCCTCTCTGCTCGAGCTCTTCTCGGAAAAGCATGGGGGCGGTTCGGATAACATCTTTGAATTCACGAACAGCGAGAGCGGGATCAGGAGAGAGAGGAGGAACCAAATCCAGAATTTTTTGCATCGCCCGAGGAAAAGCAGGATGACGGCAAACCCAAGATGCAATCCGCGGAGCCCCCGAGGCCTGGAAGGGGGAGAGCGTGAGACAGACAAGGACATGGTCGGAGGGCCACTCCAGGTCGCACACTGCGGCAAGCGTGAGCGAGTTGGCCTGTAGGTCGATCAGGGACGCGCTATACATGTTGGCGTAGATCCTATCAAGGCGCGCCACGGACTGGATAGACCGAACGTTGTCGCGAATGCGGGTGCGTCCATGTGAACATGCAGGCTGAGAAACTTCGGCGAATCCAGGGAAAAGGCGGGCGACATATTTTGCGAGCCCATGAGTGTGATAAGTATGCTCCCCACCGATATGCGCCCCCCCCCTCCCCAGGCGCGCGGAAATTGAAGTCGCCCATGATGAGTGAGGTCCCAGAGGAGGATGAGAGGGCCCTCGACTTAATGACACGAAGTGTGTGTTGACGAGCAGAGATGGGAAGGCTGGGGTCGAGATGCACATTGATGATCTGCACAGTGCCATGCCGCCCTTGCAGCAAGAGTTCGCGAACTCGGCCCCTCCGAAGAACACGACGCCGAAAATGCGAGAAGAACGAAGCAAAGCGAGGATGGATAATAATAACGCAACCACCTTTGATGCCACAAGAGAAGAAAGTGCCGCACGCGCGCAGACCCTCGATCTCCTTTTTTCAGATACATGAGGTCCTGCTGGGACCCGTGAGTTTCCTGAAGAGCGATAATGGCGCGTTTCGGAATGAGACGGCGAAGTTTCGACATCACGTTGACGATCGACTGAATCGGCGACGAGGCGGAACCGAAGAGAGTCTGCACATTCCACGTCACGGCCGAGAAGTACTGCGCGAAATTGAAGGGCTGGCCAGGAAAAGAACAGGCACCGCGGGCAGAAGACGGCCTGGATGGGCAGGAGGAGGAGGAAGAAGAGCCACAGTCAGAGGAGCTCTCGATGATCATCCCGCTCTCATCGTAGCTGCTCGGCAGGTAGCCCTTGACTGCGGGAGACTCAGCAGTCCTCGGTTCGAACAGGGAAGCGTCCTATTCCATCGAGGTTGAGATCATGGCCGTCGCGGCCTCGGCGTCGATGCCGAACTTGGAGAGATTGTCGGAGTTGGCTTTGCACTCGAACTGGTTGCGGTCCGTGGCGATGAGCTCGAACAGCACGAAAAGACATTCGCCTACCTTCGTGTACAGGATGCCCTTGAAGCCGTTGGACCCGATGGAGTAGTAATTATTCCACTTCCCGTCCCGCTTCATGGCCGCAGTGGTCGCCTGCCAGAGCCTCCCCAGGTACTTGCTCTTGACGCGGATCTCGGCGGGAGCGTCGAACCGCACCCTCAGGTTGACAGTGGAGTTGGAGGCCTGGTCCTGGTACTGGATGCCTGCTGTGCGGTAGTGATCCACAAAGGCAGCTGCAGCTTGCTCGTCGGCAAACTTGATACTGTAGGACTTGTTGAGGTTGTATCCACGAATAGTGGGGCCAGCGGTGTGATGAAACGGAAGAAGGCCGAGCAGATGCTTGCCGTGCTCCTCCAGCATTGTGCCAAGCATCGGAGAGACAAAGCCGCTGACCCAAATCTTGCACCGGTCGCGAGAGGAGGCATCAACTGCATCGTCATGCCGACCGAATCGTGAAGGCCCTTCAGATCGAGCACGCTTGGCACCGTTGGCTGCGTGCCCAAAGGAAAGCACACTGCTGGCGCTCGAGGTGGATGCAGTAGAGAGGCTGCTCACGCGTGTCTCCAGGAGCTCTAGCTTCGGCAGAAACTTACCCTCGGCGACGGACGCGACGCCCTGGGCTTCGAGCTTGTCCAGCCGCTCAGCAATGGTAGCGTTCTTGGCCGCCTGATCGACCAGCTGAGCTTTGATGGTGGGGATCTCCGCAATGGCCGTGCTGATGCCTGCCAACTGCTCGGTGAAACTGGAGGAGCAGCTCTTTGATGCCACGCTCAATCGCCTCAGCCGCAGAGCCCGCCATGGCGCGAGAACTGGTGGGAGAAAAGCGAGAGAGAGAGAGAGAGAGAAAAAAAAAAAAAAAAAAAAAAAGGTCCGCTCGGGCACGACACCCGAATTGCCCACTGAAGTGAGCTGCCCGCTCAGGTGCGATCTCCCCAATCACACTTGAGCCAAAATGGCAACGGAAGGAGGACAACGAGGAGGAGGAAGAGGAGGAAGAGGACAGAGAGGAGGAGGAGGAGGAGGAGGAGGAGGTCACCGCCGCGTCCACAGGACAGGGTCCTGCCAGCATGCCCTGGGCGCCCGTTGAGGCCTGCCCGTGGGGGTGGCTTACCTCCAGGGGCTGCCCGTGTGCCACGCCAAGAGCTGCCACGCGCGCGGGTGCCGCCCGAGTGTATATTTGTCCCCGCCCGGCGGGGCAGCGCTGCGTCCAAGCGCGCCCATATGGCACAGCCCTACACGACGCTGCTTTCAACGCGGGCACGTACAGCTACACGGGCTCTCGCAGGCACAGTTCGTCTACCCCAGCGAGCGGGTAGTCGAAAGGATTGATCAGCGGGCGAGGTGCCTTGCTTGGGTCAACGACGAGGCGCGTGCACTTCTTGGTGTTGATGGCGGACTCGCAATATTTGTTTTTGTAGTCCGTCGCGGCACGATTGACCATGAACGTGAGGTGGCAGATCGTGAACGCCGAGCGCTTGCCTTGCGTGTTGTGGGCGGCGGCCTTGGGGGGAACAAAAGAATACCGATACCGCTGCAGTAGACGCGCACGATAGGAATATTGCTGCAAGCAATACGAAGCGCCCTTTTCGCCGATGCCTGAACTTCCGAACGCACCCCAGGACTCCATTGGGGTCCCAGGAGTCCTCGGCGATGCGCAGATCTCCGCGGGGCACCTGCCGGCATCGGAGGAGGGCCAGCTGAGACAACGGCAGTTCACCCGCCCGGCCCAGATCCGCTGGAAGATCTATCCCTGGACCCCTCCTGGGGTCGGTCATGGCTCGATGTTCGAAGCGGACCAGGCCGTGGCCACGAGCAACCTCCGCGCGGCCCGACAAACACAAACAGGCCCGTGGGGCAGCCGTCGTCTCGACTGGCCCTCCCCTCCGACGGCAGGGTTGTTTCAAGATCGAGGTGCCTACAGCACCTCCTCCTCCTCCTCCTCCTCCTCCTCCTCCTCCTCCTCCTCCTCCTCCTCCTCCTCCTCCTCCTCCTCCTCCTCCTCCTCCTCCTCCTCCTGCTGCTCCACGGACCTCCTCACGGCAGTGCGTCCTGCCCACGACGTGGGAGCGAACCTCCAACCTCTGGGGACGGCAGCCTCCCAGAAGGCCCACACAGAGGCGGAGCATGCGCAAGCAAATCAGAGGCCCTTCCCCTCCGGAGCCTGCGCGTTGAAGAAGTCGTCGGGCGGCGGCGTGAGGAGCGGCTCGTTGCAGCTCAGGATGGTCGAGGGCACGTGGCCCTTGTGGAAGTTCCACAGTTCGGAGCCCTCCTTGGCCGATCGAAGATCGAGGTTCCTGGGCCCACTGCCCCTGAGCATGTTCGCCCCCGTGATGCGCGACGCGAGACCATCTTCGCACGCGCAAGGCCACCTGCGGACAAAAGCCGCTGGATCTCAGAGGTTTTCGGTCCATCCTCACCCGATTTTACCCGCGCCCTGGCCTCGTCCTATGTTTGGGGAAACCAAAGGGTACCGATACCGCTGCTCCCCGGACCCCTCCCAGTGCGTTTTTGGGAGGAAACCTGAAGCGAATCCAGCCGAGGAAAAGGGCCTCCCAGGGGCTCCCAACAATAGGGGACAACCAGCAAGGGTACAGTACTACCTTTCCTCCCTCGCGGACTGTTTTTGGGGAGGGCTGACCCCGTCGCCCGCCAAGGGCGCGAGGGCAACGGCCAGGCCGAGGAACGGATTGCCCGCGGCGGTGGCGGCGCCTCAGGCCCGAGGGGGCCAAAAGAGTGGCTGCGCGTCCGTCCCCCGCGCGGGCGCCAGGCGCGAGCGCAGGTCGGCGCCGTCTCCGCGAAGAAGTATTTGACAAAAAATGAAAATGGCAAAAAACTAAAATAAGTCGAAAAACAACTAAGTGTCTTATTTATTAGTCTAACAAAATATATATATATATATGGTGTAAACATATGCATATGAATAATTAATCGTAAATAAACGGTAACATAGACGAAACAAAAAAAAAAAAAAAAAAAAAAAAAAAAAAAAAAAAAAAAAAAAAAAAAAAAAAAAAAAAAAAAAAAAAAAAAAATAAAAAAAAAAAAAAAAAAAAAATAAAAAAAGAAAAAAAAAAAAAAACGACATGAACAAAATAAACAAATCACAACGACAAAAACAACAACAACAACAACAACAACAACAACAACAACCACAACAACAAGGACAACAACAACAACAACAACAACAACAACAACAACAACAACAACAACAACAACAATCATGTTAAGACTGTTCGATCTTATCTGCTCGCGCGTCATTCAATATGCACGCCCCAAACCCTGGATACCCGCCCTCTTCGTTTTCGATCGCACCCCCCTGTGAGGGGGTATGCTCATCCCCTGCCACGCGTGTTTGGCGAATCCCTTGATAACGAAGGGTAACAGATAACGGGGGACAACAAGGACGAAGGGATCGGAAGAAGGGAAAGGAGGGGCAATAAGGAGGGAGGACGATGATTTGCGCTGCGACTGGCGATTCAGTTCGCGCCATGGCTTGCGCCAGCCAGTCCAACACAGGTTAACAATAAGCTTCGCCATGGGTCGCGCCATAAACAGCGCCACGCACCACCCCCTCGAAAGAACATATGCTGGATACCCCCCCGGGGGGACGCACAGCTGCGAACTGGTGACAGAAACAAATTTCGTGGAACCCTGGAAATATGCGGGACGTTGGGAGAGTGGGGCGGAAGGATGGTGAGAACTGCAACCGTGTCGAACGGAGCGCGGGGATGTAGAGTGGATTGGGGTGGAATGGACCAGAATGTGTCTCAGGAGGAGGAGCGGCAAGGAGTGGAGAATAGGAACCGGGAGGACTGCGGAGGAGCGGGGGGCGCACGGAGAAATCTGGAGGTGGGACTGGGAATAATTTAGGACAAATGCGGAATGCGAGCGGGAAGGGGCGGAGATTGTTGGCATGGGATGGGGTGGCCTGGTGAGGAGTGGGCGGAATGCGAAGAACTGAGGAATAGCACAATGGAGCATGAACGAAGTGAAAATGATGATAAAGGGGAAAAATAGAGAAGACTGGGAAAAAACGTTGAAAGTGGGGGCACGTGGATACGAGCGGAGACTGGTGCGGAAACAAGGCGCGGGGGGATTGGCAGGCACCCAAAAGCCTCCTATGACCTCTGGGGGGCCTCGGAATGGCCCCGATGACCACCGAGCAGTTCCAGAGGCTCCGAAAACCTGCGGGAACGCAGGCGGGAGCCGTTGTTGGCGCGGGCCACGACGGGCGCGAACGAGCGGGGGGGCCGAAGGGCATACGTATAGGGGGCCGCAGAGGGCAGCGACGGAGCCGCTGAGGGCAGAAACGGGGCCACGAAGGGCAGAGAGGGTGCCACGAAGAGCGACAGCGGGGCCACGAAGGGCATGCATATGGCGCCACGACGGGCGCGAACGACTGCGCGAACGATGCGGACTACTTCGACCTGACAAAATATATAATATAATTAATATATATCTAAATATATATAATATATATAATAAATATATATATATAAATATACATAATATATAAATGGGCCAGAAAGGGCGACAGCGGGGCCACTGAGCGCAGAAAGTTGGCCACGAAGGGCAGCGAGGGGGCCACGAATGGCGACAGCGGGGCGACGAAACGCATGCGTATGGGACCACGAAGGGCGCGAGCGAGCGGGGGCCACGAAGGGCAATTAATCGGGGGCCACAGAGGGCAGCGACGGGGCCGCCGAGGGCAGAAACGGGGCCACGAAGGGCAGAGAGGGGGCCACGAAGAGCGACAGCGGGGCCACGAAGGGCATGCATATGGGTCCACGACGGGCGCGAACGAGCGGGGGCCACGAAGAGCATTCGTATATGGGGCCAGAAAGGGCGACAGCGCTACGAAGGGCATGCGTATTGGGCCACGACGGGCCCGAACGAGCGGGGGCCACGAAGGGCATATAATGCGGGGCCACAATTGACAGCGACGGGGCCACTGAGGACAGCAACGGGGCCGAGAAGGGCAGCGAGCGAAGGCGACCGCGGAACCAGTACGGGCAGCGAGGGGCATCGAAGGCGGGCGAAGGGCAGCGAGCGGCGACTGCAGTCCCTAACGGGCTGGTCGGGTGGGCAGGCCCAGACGGGCGGGTCGAGCGGGCGGGTCGTTGAAGCGTAAATTCTGCTTGAACCGCCAGGCAATATGTAGCGGGAGCGCGATTCCTGAATGTCGAGGAACGGCACCTGAATAAATCGGGAGGAAATATCAGGCGTCAGCCGCGATTCGGTGGTAAGTTGCGAGGAAGTCCCAAGCGAGAGCGCGATTCTTCAATAAATTGTGAAGTAGTATCAAGTGGGAGCCGCGATCCGGTGGTAAATTGCGAGGAAGTCCCAAGCGAGAGCGCGATTCTTCAATAAATTGTGCGGCACTATCAGGCGGGAGCCGTTGTTGTTGTAAACCGGGGACCAACGACACAGTTTGACCCTCAAGACTTGCCCTTATAAAAAACAGGGTGCGAGCCCCGGGAAGGGCACTTCAATCGAAGAAACAATGTGCACCAGACGGGGGGGATCAACAATACTTATTCTTCAATAATACAACAACACAACAACAACAACAACAACAACAACAACCACAACAACAATAATTACTAGCACGTGGGGACACTCCGTTCTCACCAGTGCCAGGGTTTTCATAGGAGGCGGGCAATACCCCCACTTTGTGGGGGGGCCGGTTCAAGCTCTACCAAATTTCCAAACGACTCTTCGCCACCACCCACACCCAGTTTCCCGCCCTATGACGTTCGGACACTTCACTTCGTGGCATGCGGACGACCGAGGCTACTATTCAGGGCCCCGCGGCCGACGACGACGGCGTGCGCGCGCGAAGAAAAAACGAATGTGTCCCGCATGGTATTATTTGACAGGGATGATGGCCCTGGCAGGTGCGCAACCGTTGTTGGAGAAGTTCGAAGCACGTGAAAAAGTTGCTCGCAAAAGCCCGTTTGACAGAAATGTTTAAAAAGTGTTGGGTTACCTACAAATCCGCAAGAGCGCGCGGGATGAAATTTTTGTACTTTATTGATACACCCCAAAATGGTTATTATTTTTTGAATTTAAAATCGCTAACAACACTAAGGTGGAAGGATTTCTCTTGCCGCCGCGAATGTCCACTTTACTTATTTTTGCAAGATTTCTTGAAGTTGGTTAGTTTAGAAACAAGAAATGTCCACTTTGGCCTAAATTTTTGCAAGGAAAACGGACAACAAAACAACCTCCACCGGATCCGGACCCCCCCGTTTTGCCTGAGACTTCCTCACGAAAATGATGAAAATGTGCTGCGGCCTAGGCGCGGCGGGGGGGTCGTGCACCAGGGGCCCCAACAATAATTATTCTTTAGAAGTAATAATGTTCAACAACAACAACAACAACAACAACAACAACAACAACAACAACAACAACAACAACAACAACAACAACAACAACAACAACGCTAACACCAACAACAACTACAACAACAACAACAACTACAACAACAACAACAACAACAACAACAACAACAACAACAATTACTAGCACGTGGGGACACACCGTTCTCACCAGTGCCAGGGTTTTCATAGGAGGCGGGCAATTACCCCCACTTTGTGGGGGGGCCGGTTCAAGCTCTACCAAATTTCCAAACGACTCTTCGCCACCACCCACACCGAGCTTCCCGCCCTATGACGTTCGGACACTTCACTTCGTGGCATGCGGACGACCGTGGCTACTATTCAGGGCCCCGCGGCCGACGACGACGGCGTGCGCGCGCGAAGAAAAAACGATTGTGTCCCGCATGGTATTATTTGACAGGGATGATGGCCCTGGCAGGTGCGCAACCGTTGTTGCAGAAGTTCGAAAAAGTTGCTCGCAAAAGCCCGTTTGACAGAAATGTTTAAGAAGTGTTGGGTTTCCTACGAATCCGCAAGAGCGCGCGGGATGAAATTTTGACTAATTACCTATATAAATTTGTTTGAAACCCATTGGTTTTTTGATGTTTTTTTATGTTAAAATCGCTACGAAAACTAAGGTTTTGGAAGGATTTCGTCTTGCGCGCGCGAATGTCCACTTTACCTTATTTTTTGCAAGGGATTCTTGAAGTTTGGTTATGTTAGAACAAGAAATGTCCACTTTAGCTTATTTTTTGCAAAGGAAAACCGATCGTAACAACACAACCGGATCCGGACCAACCCGTTTTGCATGAGACTTCCCTCACGAAAAATATGAAAAATGAGTCCTGCGGCTAGCGCGCGTCCACCAGGGGTCCCCCAACAATAATTATTCTTTAGAAGTTAAATAATGGTTCAACAACAAACACAACATCAGCAACACAACCAATCAGCAACAACAACAACAACAACCACAACCACAACCACCACCACCACCACAACCACAACCACAACAACGACAACAATAACAACAATAACAACAATAACAACAATCACAACAACAACAACAACAACAACAAACAAAAAAAAAACACAAAAAAACAACAACAACAACAACAACAACAACAACAACAACAACAACAACAACAACAACAACAACAACAACAACAGCAGCAGCAGCAGCAGCAGCAACAACAACAACAACAACGACAAAAAACGCCGCCATACTGTGTGTGGACTATTTTTGAACACTCCTGCTGTAGAGGGACCGGCCCGACTGGACGCGAGCGTGCACCGTCGCCTGTGGAGCGCCCTGCCGCGCCCAGCCGGCCAGCACCTCGTGGCCCACGACGGGGCTCGGATTGGGTCGGGCATGTCCTCCTACAGGCGGCCTTTGGAGGAAAAATGCCCAGACATGATCGCGCCGTAAAAAATTCAGGACGGAGGTGTTCGCCGTTTTCGGCCTCCAGAGGCCCTCGCTGGGACCCGGGACCGTCAAAAAACGACTCGGGATGAAGAACCGGCCCCGGGGAAAAGGGTCGGGACTTCTGGGGACGCCGTCCTGAAAAAATCCGGACGTCGCATGTCTGGATAAGAAACAGTCGAAGCATTCCCGACGCCATTCCCGACGCCGTTCAGTGCTCGGGAGCGGGGGGGGTTTACCTCTGCAAGGGGGAGAGGACGCCATTCCCCACGATATTCCCGACGCCACTCAGTGCTCGGGAGCCAGGGGGGGGTTCGCTCTGCAAGGGAGGGGGGAGAGGACGCCATTCCCGACGATATTCCCGACGCCATTCAGTGCTCGGGAGCCGGGGGGGGTCGCTCTGGAAAGGGGGGGGGACGCCATTCCCGACGACATTCCCGACGCCATTCAGTGCTCGGGAGCCAGGGGAAGGAGCATCGGGAGCACCCCGGATCGGCGGCACTGGCTGGATGCCACTACAGTAGGAAACAGTCGAAGAATACTCAAAAATAGTCAAGAATGGTCCACAAATCGTCCCCAGACGACTTGTCAACTATTTTTGGATACTCCTCCTGTAGATGGACATGCCCGACTTACGCCTCGGAAACCCTCGCAGGCCCAGGAATCCACGCGCCAGGCGCGCCGATCTCCCCTCCGGGCCGGCTCGGGATCGCCGGGGGGGGCGGGGGGCAGGGGCCCGAGCTCGGCCAGCGTCTCCTGCGCGCGCTCGGCTGCGGCAGACGTGAGAGGACGCCCAGACTGCCAGCACCTCTCAGGCCGCTAGGAGGGGGGGAGACGCGCCTCTCTCGGCGGCGAGCGAGGGGGGAGATGAGGAGGAGAAGGCCTTCTCGAAAGGCGGCGGGACTTCTCAGAAGCCCTCGCGCCTTCTGAGAAGTGTTCCGTGTCTTCGGGGAAGGCTACGAAAAATCCTCAGAAAGCCAGGGGACTTCCGAATCTTCCGGGAAGGCCTTCTCCTTCTCACTTCCCCCCCTCGCTCGCCGCCGACTCCTGCTGCACCGGCGCACGATCGCCACGATGCAGCAGGCACGGTACGTGGCCCACCCACCGTGGAGCCGCCGGCACCGTGCTGCACCACGCGCCGACCCTGGGCCCAGGGACCTTCAAGGTGCCGTGCTGGCCTGGCCTGGAAGGCGCCCATATTCCTCCTCCTCCTCCTCCTCCTCCTCCTCCTCCTCCTCCTCCTCCTCCACCTCCTCCTCCTCCTCCTTCTCCTCCTGCGCTGCTAGCAGCAGTGCGGCGGCTACCCGCCTACCTTCCTCCTCCTCCTCCGCCTCCTCCTCCTCCTCCTCCTCCTCCTCCTCCTCCTCCTCCTCCTCCTCCTCCTCCTCCTCCTCCTCCTCCTCCCTAGGATGCTGTGTAGCCAGGATCGGCGTCGTGCAAAAACCGCTTGCGCCCATCCAACGTCGGCTGGCGGATTCAGCCGCCGAGCTCCTCGGGGCAGCTCTCGGCATCGTAGTCAATAAGTTCGCCCTTGGTGCACGCCTTGAAGTGGCTGGCGGCGTGCAGGAAGCCCGGGCGCTTGCGCCCTTCTAGCGCCCTCTCCGGGTCGTGGCACGACATGCTCTCGAGCGAGTCGACGAACTTCCACGCCTCGCCGTCGGCGTCCACGCTCGAGACCATGTAGTTCTCGAGCATGACGTGCTTGACGTTATGGTGGACGGCGGCGTATACGTACGCGTACATGTCGGCCTGGATGTCGCCCCGGTCCTGGAGGAGGAGCAGGAGGAGGTCTCCGACCGCTTTTTACTACTTGTGGCCCACTTTGGGCCTCCAGAGGCCTCCAGGGCCCCTTGGGGACCTCCAGAAGACCTCTGGAGACATCTGGACATCCCCAGAGGCCCAGGGTCCTGCTGATACACTGGCTTCATCAGATCCCACCACGTCGGCGCGATCTTCTTGAAGTCTGCGTTGTGCAGGATGTACGGCGGCCCGGCTGGGTAATAGAGCCGACCCTGCTCGAGCGTCACGTTGGCACACGGGCTGGCGCTCCCGCCTGGGCAGATCGTGCGCTGGTTGAACTTGTCCAGGAACACCGTGCCGATGCCGTACCTGGGGAGGGCAGCAGAGCACACAGACATAAACTTTGGACGCCTGCGGCCGGCTCCACCGCCGGCCCCAGCCCCCTCCCAATCCCCTCCCAGCCGCGCGAAGCGCGCCGAGCGCGGTCAAGATTTCTATCCATATCCACGGCGTCCTGGGTTTCTCGGGGAAGAGATGCGAAAAAACAGAGATGCGAAAAAAACGAGAAGCAGAGGTACGACTGCCTGGCCTCGTCAGAGGAGATGCTTTATCCTTCTGTGGCAACGCATGGGAGCCTCTCATACCGTCTTGTTAGCTCTTGCGAATTGACGTTCATCGACGCCACTCGCTAAGTCGACGCTAATCGACCCCAGTCGACGCTGATCTACTCTAATCGACGCTATATCGGGGCTACCTCACCGATGAATGGACACTTCTCGACGCCAACGCACTCTGGGTACGGAATTACGAAGGCACACGAGTCTCCCATGATTGGCTGCCGAATTACAGCCCACGCGTATCAGAAGGATGCGCGGTGAGGACGCAAGGGCCCCAGAGGGCCCTGCTGACGCTCTTCGAGCGAGACTGGCCAGCAAAAGCCGCCGAGGATGGGCCGCAGGGGCAAGGATGCTGGGGTACCCTTGGGAAGGTTGCCCATCCTTACCATGCGGATCGGCTCTGTCCAAATCCACGGCGCCTCGGGTCTCTCCACGGCAGAGCGTCCAGAAAATCCGAGCCGCAGGGGGTGGGGGGGGCAGAAGAACCTTGCCCACGCTGGGGGCGGCGCCGCCCAGGAGGTGCGGGCAGGGCGCTGGGCGCCCGCGGACATACCTCGTCCGCGGGCGCCCGAGCGCGCGTGCTCGCAGGGCAGGCTCTCGTCGCGCCGACTTCGGCGCTGGCTCTGGACAGCTCCCCGGTGGCTCCCCCCCGGGCTCCCCGATGGCTCCCACACGGCTCCCTCACGCCTCCCGCATGTCTCCCTCCTGGATCGCTCATGGCTCCCCGCTGGGCTCCCCCTCTCCGCTCCCTCGTGGCTCCCTCTCGAGTCTCTTTTGGCGCCCTCGTCGCTTCCTGTTGGCTCCCTCTTGGTGCCCTTCGGGCTCCCTCTTGGCTCCCTCTGGACACCGCGAGCATCGTTCAACCACGAACGATCGGCCATTTCCGAAACGTCCGATCGTTCCACATCGTCCGATTCTGAGTCGCCGGCGGCGTCCAACGTGGAACGCCAGCGGCGACCCCCCGCCGGTCGACACGACACGAACCTGCTGTGGGTGGGTTTCCACTGGCGGCGAGCGAGGGGGGAAGTGAAAAGACGAAGGCCTTCTCAGAAGACGGCGGGACTTCTCAGAAGCCATCGCGCCTTCTGAGAAGTTTTCGGCGTCTTCAGGGAAGGCTCAACAAACTTCTCAGAAGGCCAGGAGACTTCCAAGCCTTCTTAGAAGGCCCGCCCCTTCTCACTTCCCCCCCTCGCTCGCCGCCGATTCTGGTTCACTCACGTCTGCGCCACGCCCATGCCTGGGGGAACCAGAAGAGCCCTGAGATCCTGGCGCCTCCGTGGTGTTCGAGCCCAGCGCTGCTGTTCTCCGGGCGGCGGGCCATGGGACCGTCACAGATCGATCTGGCTCGACATGCAGTCAGCCCGTATGGTTGGGATGTGCAAGAAGGATGCAGGGGCCTTGGAAGGCCACGCCGACACTTTTCGAGCGGGGCGAAGTGGCCAAGGATGGGCCGAAGGGGCAAACATGCAGGAGCACCCTCTGGAAGGTTGCCCATCCTTGCTGCGCGGGTGGACTGTACGCCTCAGGAAGGTGAAGTCTGGGGCTCCTGTTGCAATTGCTTCTGCAGGCTGCATGTTTTTCGCGACGACGGATCTCAGGGAGGATACCGATGCCGCTACTCTCCGGCACTCTCCCAGGGTGCGCTCGGACCACCAGCCCGAGGCGAATCCAGCCGTGGCCGAGAGGGACGTGGGAAACTATGGCAAGACTGTCGATATCGATGTCTGCCCGCGCCTTGCATGCCACTCAAAATCGGTCCCTGGACTGGACGCCTCCTGGACTCCAGCCTGCCAAGCTCCTCCGACCGGGTAAGCGTTTGGCGGCCCCGGGGGACGAAAAAGGCCTCCGGGCACCGAAACCGACACGGGCACTGGCCAGGAGGGGCAGCGGTGTCGGTATGCTTCTCTATCCTCTGAGCGCCAGGCTGAACCACATCCGTCACCTGAGCGATCAAAAGAACGAGCACTGCGCACAATGAAAGAGCGACCTCACGCCGTGGCCTCCGTGGGCCGCCAGCGAGGCACACCGCGTGGAGAGGAGGGCACTGGCGCGCGCCGCGCTTCCGCGGAAGCTTACGCGCGAATGTCGGCGCAGTCGACCCCGTTTTCGCTCGTCGCTCACCTGATGCTTCAGCTGCTCTGGATAACTGTCGATGGTCGGCGGCGAGCGAGGGGGCGAAGTGAGAAGGAGAAGGCCTTAGAAGGCGGCGGGACTTCTCAGAAGCCCTCAGGTCTTCTGAAAGTTTCCTGTCTTCGGGGAATGCTCAAAAAACTTCTCAAAGTCCCAGTGGCTTCGGAGCCTTCTGAGGAGACCTTCTCCTTCTCACTTCCCCCCGGGGCTCGCCGCCGAAATGATCTCGAACGGACCATCGGCGGCGTGCTCGGCGCGCTGCGTCAGCGGCTGGAGGAAGAACTCGTCGGGGTCCAGGATTGCTATGGCACGCTCGTTGACGTCGCCGCCCTCTCAGAGGACCAGGAGCAGGAGGGAGGAGGGGGGGGCAGGGGGGAAGGATGAGGAGGACAAGGAGGACGAGGGGAGAGGAGAAGCGGGACAAGGAGGAGGAAGAAGGGGGAAGAGGGCCGTGGGTGTGAGGAGCCGCAGCCACGGCAGCGGATCAGGAGGAGGCAGAGAGGGAGCAGGAGGGAGAAGGAGGAAAAGGATGAGGGAGGCGGAGGAGGAGGAGGGAGGAGGGAAGAGGAGGAAGGAGGAGAAGGAAGCCTCCAGGGGAAAGGAGGACTCAGACCTCCGACGCTATGATTTGTTCACAACATGAACCCCCAGACTTCTCGATCCTGGGACCAGCGTTTTTCATCCTGAGCCTCTTTTGACAGTCCCGGGGGGCCAAGGAACGGCCCCGTGAGGAAGGGCCCCCCAGGCCGAACATCCGTCGATATGTTCTGCATGACGCGAGCAGGTCTAAGTTGGGAAAACGGGAGGTACAAGGAGGAAGAGAGGAGGAGGAAAGGGAGCAGAGGAAGAAAAGGGGAGAGGAGAAAGAATAGAAAGAGAAGAAGGAGGAGGAGCAGCAGCAGCAACAGCAGCAGGAGCAGGATCGGGAAGGAGAAGGAGGGGGGAAGGAGGAGAAGAGAGGGGAAAGGAGGAAGGGAGGAGGGGGAGGAGCACGGAGGGAGGACGAGGAAGAGGAACAGGAGAACAAGGATGAAGAGGAGCACGAACATAGGAACAGTGCGGAAGATCGCTAGCGCGAGCTCGATGTCATCGTCGGCCTGAGTGTCCAGCCAGTGCTGGAAGGACCACGGCTTGTTGAACCACGGGAACTCCTTTGCCTCAGGGATCGCGGGCGCGACGTGCACCTCGGGGTTCCTCGGCCTTCCTCCCCCACCGCCCCTACACCTGCCTCCTCCTCCTCCTCATCCTCCTCATCCTCGTAATCATCAGCACTATCATCATCACCATCATCATCCCCATCGTCATCGTCATCATCATCAGCAGCAGCATCATCAGCAGCATAAACAGCATCGTCATGATCATCATCAACATCACCCATCATCAGCATTGTCAGCCTTATAGTATCAGTCATCATTAGCATCGACAATAAAAAAGAAAAAGCAACAACAACAACGAAAAAGCCGCAATAACAACAACAAAAACAACAACAACAACAACAACAACAACAACAACAACAACAACAACAACAACAACAACAACAACAACAACAACAATAACAACAACCACAACAACAACAACAACAACGACAATAAAGACAACAACAACGACAACAACGCCAACAACAACAACAGCAACAACAACAACAACAACAACAACAACAACAACAACAATCACAACAACAACAACAACAACAAAAACAACAACAACAACAACAACAACAACAACAACAACAACAACAACCGCAGCAGCAACAACAACAACAATAACAGCAGCAACAGCAATCGCAACAACAGCAGCAACAACAGCAGCAGCAACAACCATAACAACAGCAACGGCAACAGCAACGACGGCAACAAGATTGACAGCAACAAACGCTGCAACTACAACCACAACAACAACAACAGTAGCAACAACAACGACGACAACCACTACAACATCATCATCAGCATCGTCGTCATCATCATCTTCATCAGCATCATCATCAGCGACATCCTAATCATCATCATCATCATCATCAGCGTCTTTAGCATCACCGCCACCATCATCAACACCATCATCAGCATTATCATCAGCATAATCATAATCATCATGATCGGCATCATCGACATCATCATTACCACAATCACCAGCATCATCATCACCACCAGCACCATCATCATCATCAGCAGCATCGTCATCATCCATCAGCATCGTCATTATCAGCATCATCATCCTTGTAATCATCATCAGCAGTATCCTCAGTGTAAGTATCCCCCTTTCCTCCACCTTCCATCCGCTTACCCCACATCCTTCAACCTATCCTTCCCACCTCTGCTTCCCCTGCTCAAGAGCTCCCCCTTCTTAAGGAGCGAAGCGTATCAAACAGTCGAACATGTAGGACAGGCAAGCTCACACCTTCGCATGAGCCAACCATAACATTGCACTCGGCATCTACTCGCGATTCAAGCCTTCACACCTCCACCTGACCTTGAGCCTGAGCCGATGGGCCTGAGCCAGCAAGCCTTTAGTCTGCCCGAACAATCACCAAAGCCTATACACTTCTGTGACAAAATGCGTGAGATTACTTTTTCAATAGTTTGGGCGGCTTGAACCTCTGGGGCCCAATGCCCTCAGTTTCGCTCCTCACGTGAAGGGACATCTCTCATGCATACCATAGCTAATCCGTATAGAAACTACATCAGGACTTGCAAGGGCGAGCTACTAGATGGTAACCTTGATCCCTGGGTAACTGGATTTCAGCAGGTCGGCGCTATCGATCAGTTCGTCCGCGGCGCCACCCTGGTGTGTCCTGATCTGCTCTTCCACGTGCTGGTCGCACCCCACCACGATGCGAGTGATGCTCCCGCACTGACCCTGGTGGTACGCCGAGTTCAGCAGCACCTCTGCCTGCCAGTGCTGGAAGGCGTTGCATCCCGTCGAGAACACGATGTGCATGTCGTCGTCCGCGGGCGTGCAGTCTTGAGCGTGCATACGGCGCATGGAGTTCGGAGGCAACTACTGGGAGGTCTTCGTCGGAAGGATTAAGAAGGATTACGCCCCATTGGGAGGCTGTTACGCTGGAATGGGCCTCGGATTAAGCGGGATTAAGCCGGATTAAGCGGGATCAAACGGGATTAAGCCGGATTAAGCGGGACTAAGCCAGATTAAGCCGGATTTCGGACCAGGGCTAAAGCAGAATTTGACCTCCAAGGAGTGGCATCCGAAATGGATGTCACATTGTGCCTGCGCAGTGCCGAGGCTGCAGGCAGGAACCCTGCCCTGTCCACGACCAAGCCGCTCACAGCCGGCAGCGCCGCGAGCAAGCAGGCCGGCTTCGCCATTGAGGGGCCCTGGGACATACAAATAAATACACACAAATAAATACACACAAATAACCCATATTTTCTGGGTTTTTGTTTTCCCCCCCCATATTTCCCCATATTTTCCTGGGAGTCGACGATTAATTGTGTCTGTGTACTTTTGTTCCCTCCTGACACCTGCCGAGTGCCCATCGCCTTCACATTAAGGTACACCACGAGTGTGCGGGGGAAACGCAGCTTGATCCCGGAGCTGCAGAGTCCTCCTCCTCCTCCTCCTCCTCCTCCTCCTCCTCCTCCTCCTCCTCCTCCTCCTCCTCCGCATCCTCCCCCTCCTCCTCCTCCTCCTCCTCCTCTTCTTCTTCTTCTTATTATTATTATTATTTTTATTTTTATTATTAGTATTATTATTAGTATTATTATTATTAGTATTAGTATTATTATCAGTATTATTATTATTATTATTAGTATTATTACTAGTAATATTATTATTATTAATACTAATATTATTATTATGAATAATATTATTATTAATATTATTATTATTCTTATTATTATTATTATTATTCGTCTTCGTCGTCTTCTTCTTATTATTCTTATTATTCTTATTCTTCTTCTTATTATTATTATTGTTAGTATTAGTCTTCTTCTTATTATTATTCTTCTTCTTATTAATGTTAATATTCTTTTTCTTCTTAGTATTATTATTATTAGACTTATTATTATTATTCTTATTAGTATTATTATTTGTCTTATTATCATTATTATTAATAGTAGTCTGATTAGTCTTCTTATTCTTATTATTAATCTTATTATTATTATTCTTATTATTATCATTATTAGTCTTATTATTATTCGTATTCTTCTTATTAGTGTTCTTATTAGTATTGTTCTGCTTAGTCTGCTTATTATTCTTCTTCTTTTTATTATTATGATAATTATTCTTCTTATTATTATTATTATTATTATTATTAATAATATGGTTCGTCTTAGTCGTCTTCTTATTCGTCTTATTCTTATTATTATTAATTACTATTATTATTATTATTATTATTATTGTTCGTCTTCGTCTTCGTCTTCGGCTTCGTCTTCTTATTATTCTTATGATTATTATTATTCCTCCTCCTCCTCCTCCTCCTCCCTCTCCCTCCCTCCCTCCCTCCCTCCCTCCCTCCCTCCCTCCCTCCTCCCTCCCTCCCTCCCTCCCACCCTCCCTCCCCCCTCCCTCCCTCCCTCCCTCCCTCCCTCCCTCCCTCCCTCCCCTCCCTCCCTCCCTCCCTCCCTCCCTCCCTCCCTCCCTCCTCCCTCCCTCCCTCCCTCCCTCTCCCTCCCTCCCCCCTCCCTCCCTCCCCCTCCCTCCCTCCCTCCCTCCCTCCCTCCCATCCCTCCCTCCCTCCCTCCCTCCCTCCCACTCCTCCCTCCTCATCCCTCCCTCCCTCCCTCCCTCCCTCCTCCTCTCCTCCTCCTCCTCCTCCTCCTCCTCCTCCTCCTCCTCCTCCTCCTCCTCCTCCTCCTCCTCCTCACTCCTCCTCCTCCTCTCTCCTCCTCCTCCTCCTCCTCCTCCTCCTCCTCCTCCTCCTCCTCCTCCTCCTCCTCCTCCTCCTCCTCCTCCTCCTCCTCCATCCTCCTCCTCCTCCTCCTCCTCCTCCTCCTCCTACCGAATGCCTTGCCCGGGCCGCTCAGGAAGCCTGGCCTGGCGCTCACGCGGGAGGCGCGAGTGGGACGGCCCCCCCGAGAAGGCAGGGCGCCCCTTGGGAGCCATTCCAACGGGCCTCCCCGAAGCCCCTGGGACCGTCTCGGAAGCCTTCCCCCCTCGCAACGAAAAGACAAACGACCCCGGCGCAACCCTGATCGAGGGTCTTCTTTAGGGAGCCCGGGGTTCATTGAGGATGTGCGTGCCCACTCACGTATATGAACAAGGTCCCTTAATTCGCGAGACTGGCCGCGTGATATGAACGTTCGTTAAATGCGTATGTTTGAGACCAACGCGGATTCGTGAGCGTGTACGTCCTTCTTTCGCTCCTGAGTATTCCTTCCAGGGCAATTCAAAGCAGGTCTGAGCAATGCGAAGCAAACCAAAAAGTTGCTCGGCGTCGCTTGGTACTGCTTGGCATTGTTCGATGCTGCTTGGCGTTGCTTGGCACAGCTTGCGCAACCCCAGGCAACCTGGACGAGCCAATCACACCCGCCAGCTTCGCCCACAAACAACAAGAACCCCTACGGCAAAGCCTTCCTGGGGAGAAAGCACAGCCGCTGGCATTTCCCGCATCTGGGCCTCCGGGAGGCCCGCGTCGCGCCCCGAGGGTGGTCAGAAAGCGGCCCGGGATGTGGAAAAGCAGTCCCTCGGATGCGGTCGAGACATCCGAGGGCCCGAGTCGTTGTAAGATCACGCCGCCCGACGTCAGGGGAAGCGGAGGCAGGCCTCAGCCAAATGGAATCATGATCGAACGGAAAACGAGCGGGATCAGTTTGAATGGGATCGGCTCGCAAACGGATCGGATCGCCAACGGATCGTCCCGAAAGGAAGCGAATCGAACTCGCGGCCCAAGCCACAGGATCGAACCGCCTTGAATCAGACCGCAGACGGCCCTAGGAGGCCTCCCGCCTGCGCGTTTGTCCTCCCGTCCCTCTCTCTCTCTCTCTCTCTCCTCACTTTCCTATCTCTCCTTCTCTCTCTCTCTCTCTCTCTCTCTCTCTATTCCTCCCATTTCCGCATTATCTTTCTCTCTCTCCCTCTCTCTCTCTCTTTGCAATCAGACCTCTCTCCCTCTCTCTCCTCCCCCCCTCTCCTCTCTCTCCCTCTCCCTCTGCCCTTCCTGCCTCGCTCCTCCCTACCCCCTCTCTGCCCCCTGCCCTTCCTGCCTCTCCCTCTGCCCTTCCTGCCCCTCTCGCTCTCCCTCCCTCCGCTCATGCCCCCCGGGCAGCACGGCCCGCACGCACCCCCGGCAGCTGCGGAGGAGGGACGCGCCCGCCCCTTGAAGCCCCCCCCTCGGGCGACCTCCACCTCGGGCAGAGGGCGGGCCGCTCCACCGCTCCCGGCGCCCGAGGAGGAGGAGGAGGGAGGAGGGAGGAGGGAGGAGGGAGGAGGGGGAGGAGGAGGAGGAGGAGGAGGAGGAGGAGGAGGAGGAGGAGGAGGAGGAGGACGAGGAGGAGGAGGAGGAGGAGGAGGAGGAGCGAGGAGGAGGAGGAGGAGGAGGAGGAGGAGGAGGAGGAGGGGGAAGCCACGCCCGGAGATTCCGGAGAGGCCTCTGGAGGCCCAGAGTGCCCCGAGGACTGGGGCATGGCCCCGACCCGGCCGCCGCGCGGGACGCTCTTGTGGCAGCCCACAAACGCCTCCCGCGTGATCCTGCTAGCTCTCATGACTCGGCGGTAGGCGACGCAACTCGCTGAGTCGACGCTAGTCGACACCAGTCGACGCAAATGTACTCTGATCGACGCTACTGGGAACCGGCGGTAAACCGTCAACCAGGTTTCCGCTGGGGGCTCTCCACACTTGAGAAGAGCCTCAGAATACGACGAGAAAGCCCTCGAAACAAACTCGAAAAAATGTATTTTCCCGTGTTGAACGAAGTTACGTCCGCGAAGTGTTTTGACCAGTCGACGCGAATGTACTCTGATCGACGCTATATCGGCGCTGTCTCTCCGACCACCAGCCGCTTCTCGGCGCCGTGCAGTCCAGGTGCGGAATCACGAAGGCACACGCGGCTCCCATGACTTGCTACCGAGTTACAGCTAAGGGACGCCAGAGAAGGGGGCTTCTGATTTGAGACTTCGAAGTGCGAGTGAAGGCGTCATGCGACGACCTTTCCGAGCGGACTTGAGACATCGGCATCGCCCGTTTCAAAAGTCCCTTTCCCTGGGGTCCCTTTGGGAACCACATGATAATCGATGCTGATCGACGCCAGTCGACGCTAAATCGACGCTCATCGGCGCTAAATCGGCCGATGCTCATCGACGACCCGACGCTGCCGCACGCCGATGTACTCTACAGCCTCGGGTACACTTCTCCGAACGCGACACCGATGCCACGACAACACTCGAAACAAATGCGTGCTGTTGTGCCCCAGCCATACGCATGGTGTTGCGCCACAGCCGCATGCATCATGTTGCGGCCCAGCCACATAAACCACTCGTGTTTGGAAAAGTCGTGGGAAGCCCGCAAAACAGCGGGACCGCGCACATGCCCGAGCAAAACGGCTGCTCGATAACAATTATTTCGTGCATGTCTCCCCCTTCTGCAGCGAGAGCCGAACAACTTGAAAATATCACGTTTTTCTGTTTTATCCAACGTTGGTTCCGCCAAGTGCTTGGGTAGTAATAATGCACCTGCGGGCCTGAGAATTCCACAGGCACACGCGTCATAACCCAGTACAGGTGCGAAAACTATGATTTCTCAGCATAAATTGTCAAATATCTTTCGAATCTTCGCAAAACCGACCGAAAGTTACTACATTGTCCTTTCTGGCCGGGTCGACCAACTAGCTCCACCCCGCGCCGGAATTCCTCTAGCTCATCGACTGGGAACTGGCGGTAAACCGTCAACCAGGTTACCGCCGGGGCCCTCGTAGAGTTCTTTTCTCGCACGGCGCTCCTCGGAACACATGTAGGAAGCTTCTGGAGCGAGACCCGAAAAACTCGAAATATCGCTTTTTTTTTAAGATATAACGTCGGTTGCTCCAAGTGTTTTGGTAGCAATACTGCACCTACGGGCCTGAGAATTTCACAGGCGCACGCGTCATAGCCCACTACAGGTGCGAAAAATCTGGCTTTTCAAGATGAATTGTCAACTATCTTTCAAATATTAGCAAAACCGACCCAAACTCATCACTTTGTCTCTTTTGGTCCGGTCGACGAACTAGCTCCACCCCGGCCGGAATTCCTCTAGCTCATCGACAACGAAAAGCTCTACGAGGTATAACGCTACGAGGTAGTGGCGCCGGCAGTAAACCGTCAACCTGGTCACCGCCGGGAACCTCGTATAGCTCCTTGCACGCGTAACAATGCTGGGGAAGCAGAGAGTTTCTTAGAGTATTTCTGGTCAAATTCACATTTTTCGGTTTCAACATGAAGTCGGTTCCCGGAAATGAACTCATACTAAAACGAGCTCTAGAGAGCTGAGCTGCTCTGGGAACAAAATGTATGTACCAATGCTCGGCGTAAAAGTCTGCTTTCTCAAAATGAATTGCCAAATACCTTTCAAACATTAGCAAAATCGACCAAAAAAAAAAAAAAGAAAAATAAAAAAAAAAAAAAAA